AAGCATAAAAATTTGTTCCTTAATAATTAGTAGATGTGAAAAACATCACCATTGAACTCTACCTGATAACTTTATATCCATGCTCAGATGCCAAGGATCTCAGAAAGTAACCAACTGTGACTAGTAATAATCAGATACATAGAGATTAGAAATGCAAGTGCAAACATCTTAGTGTTAATTGCATCAAAAGTGAATTTTTCTGTATGAAACTGTGTGTTGTAATAAGGAAATGGAGGGTTAGCTCATTGGCAGAGCACTTGCCTAGCAAGCACAAGGCCCTGGGTTTGGTCCTCACCTCTGGAAAAAAAAAAAAAAAAAGGACAAAATAATAAGAGAATGGAGATCTTTTTTAAAGGTTAAAACCTCATTTAATTTTATATATTATAGGGTTTATACTGAGTACAATATTGTATAACTGTGAACCTAGAAACTTGCAGCCAATCATGAAAGAGATGTAAAGAGATGAATCTTAGCTCTGAAAATTGTTATTGAATATGTCAATGCTGTTGTAATGAAATGCATCTTCTAATTATGTGGGTATTAAATAAATAATTAAAAAAAAACCTAAGTAAAAATAAACATGGAGAATATTAGCTACTTAACTTACCTGCCAGATAGAGGGCAAAGGATATAAACCTGTGGTAGCGAATGAGGAACTGAAGTTGCTCTTCTCTTTGAACAAATGTAGCAAAATAATCAGCCACTGTCTCTCCATAGAAAAAGTAGTTCACACATAGTAAAAAGTACCTATAATTAAAATGCAATTAGTTTGGGATGCTTTAAGGCTTTTCACTACAAACCCAACAGAATCATTCCTTACATTTCAATGTCAATACAAATTCAAAATGAAATTCAGAAACCCCAAATCAAAAATATGTTCAAGTAAAATGATATTTTCCTATTTTAAGGTTAATTTCAAACCTATCGGCCAACAGCAATATACCAAATATAATTCAAATGTTTAACTCAAAATATAATGCCAGACCTCTGCTTCCCTGGGCTGCACTCCCACCAGCCTCTTTCCTGGACACCTGCGCTGATGTCTCAGCCCGGGGCCACCACTGATTCCTGATCCCTTGCATGCAGAGGGACGCAGTTCCTTCTTCAGGACCCAGGGAGCCCTCTGGGCCTGCTCCTGCTCTCACCTCCCTCTGTTTCCCTGGGCCTGCACAACTCACCAGCCTCTCAGACCTCTCTCCCAGGTAAGCTGATCTCGCCCTCCACACCTTGACTCCCCCAGCCTCATTCACACTCCCACCTCCCCTGCCCTTTTCTCCTCCTAGCTGGGGTCCTATCCTATTACTTCTCTAAGTGCCCCAAACACTGGGGGAACCACCACTGCTTCCTGATCCTTTCCATCCAGACCAACCCAGTTACCTCTCGAGGTCCCCAGGAGCCCTCTGGGCATGGTCCCGCCCTCACATCCCCATGTTTCCCTGGGCTGCAGGGCAGCCAGCCTCTTTTTGGACTCCTGGACTGACCTCTTGGCCTGGGGCCACCACACTGTTTCCTGATCCCTCACATTCAGACAGACCCAGTTCCTTCTTAAGGTCCCAACGAGCCCTCAAGGTCTGCTCCCACCCTCCCCTCCCTCTGTTTCATGGGGCTGCAGAGCCCACCAGCCACTTTCCTGGACTATGGGGCTGACCTTTCCGCTTCTTGATCCTTTGCATCCACACCAACCCAGTTCCTCAGTGCAGTCCCCAGGAGCCCTTGGGGTCGCTCCCTGTTCTCATCTCCCTTTGCAGCTCTGGGTGGCATGGCCACCAGCTGCCCTAGACCAGCATCTTTCTTGGGCCCAGCTCCCAGGACAGTCCAACCCCAAATTCCCAAGGGCAAAATCTATCCTGGAGGGATCCAGACTGTAGTAGAAAGCCTGAGAGCATTTGATCCTCATCTGACTTGGGCCTCTGTGGGAACTCCTGAGCAGGAAGACGAAATTAATTTGGCCCCTCCAATATAAAATTAAGAGAGAACCTGAAGCCTAGACCAACCAGCTTTTCATACCCAACAAGTAAACAACAAAGGCACATAAAGTTTACAAACAGAAGTAGACCTAAACTCAACAAAGGAAGGATTGAGTTTCACACAAGAGTCAGAAACTACCGGGCATGGCGGCATATGCCTTTAATCCCAGCACTTGGGAGGCAGAGGCAGGAAGATCTCTGTGAGTTCAAGGCCAGCTGGGGGCTACGGGGAGACCCTGTCTCAAAAAGACCCCCTCAAAAAACCCAAATAATATATCCCCACCAAGTACCA